GCACTGCTTTTCAAGGAGAGAAGACATACCATGAGGTATGTAAGCCTTTGACCATCTTTGACACTCAGGACTCCATGTCCTGTGTGGCTGTGACAGAAATGATCTCACTGTCGGACCTGAAAACTTCTGTTCTTGGTTTCAGATAAGCTCTGCACCTGTTGCTTCATGGGCAGGAAAGGACTCACCTCACAGCTAGCTCTGTATTTGTTCATTTCCTTCCTCCTTCCTTGGCCTCATAACTGTGACATCCTCTGACCCACCACAGTCATAGTTTGAGACTGCTTTGCTTCCTCCTTTCTCTTTTATTTTCTGGGTCATGGAAGGGGCTTTAGCATGTGGCATAACAGTGTAACAAGTCTGTCACTGAGCAACAGTGTAACAACTCTGTCAGTAAGCAACAATGTAACAAGTCTGTCAGTGAGCAACAGTGTGACAAGTCACTGAGAGACAGTGTAACAAGTCTGTCTCTGAGCAACAATGTAGCAAGTCTGTCACTGAGCGACAATGCAACAACTCTGTCACTGAGCAACAGTGTAACAAGTCTGTCACTGATCCTTCTCACCAGCCCCAGGTAGCTCTGTTCCTCCTAAGTGACCCTACACTCAGCTGTTTGTCTCCTCTGCTCACCGTCTTCCATTCTCAGCCAGCCACAGATGCTGTGTTCCTGTCATTTCCAGAGCTTGGTGACGATGCCATCAATTGGTGGCTCAGCCTCTAAAGGTACTTGCCACAAAGCAGCAAGACCTGGATTAGATTCCTGGGACCCACATGATGGAAGGACAGAACTGACGCCAAGTTGTCCTCTGAGCTCCACATGTGTGTCATGGTGTGTGCTTCTATACACACACACACACAGAGACACACACACACACACACACACAATATCAGAAGGAGGAGGTGGAGGAGGAGGAAGAATCTGGTTTACAGACGTTTAGCGCAAGCCTGTCTAAACAGGCCTTCTTCTCCCCTGAAAACCTTAATCTGGTGGCCATATAGAGCCTATGCTCAAGCTCTGGTCTTAGGGTCTTAGTCAGCCCTGCTGTTCCTCTTTTTTCAAGGTTTGTTTTTATTTATAGGAGTGTGGGCGTCGTTATGCTGATACATCATGTGTCCATGCATGTGGTGATGAAGGCCAGCAGAGGGCGTTGGAGCCCTGGGAGCTGCAATTGCAGGCTCTTGTGGGCCAGCTAGCATGGGTACTGGGAACCCAACTTGGTTTCTCCGGAAGAACAGGGAAGAACAGCAGGTGCTCTTAACCACTGAGCTATCTCTCTATCCTCCAGCCCTGCTGTTTCTCAGAAAACCTAGTTAGGGACTGGAACTAAAACCGAGACCGCAGACTTGGGACTCTCAGTTCTGTGGACCAACAGGGGCCACTATGTCCATTCTTTCCCTGGCAGGAGTTCGCTTCAGGGCTGCAGAAATGATCACAACCACTGCAGCAGGGTGGTGGAAGACTGTAAATACGACAGGTGCTTGGAGGCCCATGGACACTTTGTTTAACCCCGAGCAGCAAGTGATGCGGGCGTGGTCCAGGAAGAGGAGGCCACAGATAAGATGCGAGGATAAACACAGTTCAGGTTTGGCTTTGATCTTCTAAGGGGGAGAGCTGCATGTGGAAACCACTTCCCCTGCTGATCCTTTGGAATTCCCGAGACGAGCGCGGGAGTGGGCCTCTGAGAGAAGAGAGGCTGGTTTTGAAACATGGGAAATCGCCCCACTGCTTGTATCTGGAAGTGACCCTATTTAACTCATCATTGCAGGATGTTCTGGAGTCCAAAGGGGATGCTGGCAGGGAAACAGCTGAGCGGTGACAGGAATACTGGTACTAAAGGGCCTCAGCGGAGCTGCAATGCCAGCTGCCAGTGGCAGGAATGGGTCTAGGAGTGTTACAACACCTGCTATGTAAAAAAAAAAAAAAAAAAAAAAAAAAAAAAAAAAAAATCCTGTAAGAAGTAAAAGAGTAACTTCTAGGGGCTGGAGAGATGACTCAGCAGTTCAAAGCCTTTGATCTCAGAGGACAGGAATTCAATTCCTAGCACCCATGTCTGGTGTCTGACAACCACTTTTAACTTTAGCTCCAGGGGATCTACCACCGTCTTCTGGCCTCTTCAGGCCTTGCACACACACACACACACACCCCCCACACACACACAGAGACAGAGAGAGAGACAGAGAGAAAGAGAGAGACAGAGAGAGAGACAGACAGACAGAGAGAGAGAGACCTCAGCTTGGAATTTATGCATTCTTGTCATTTTCATTGAAATATCTCTTTAAGGAAAAAAAAAAAAAACAACAACAGATTATTTCATTTCTCCTGCAGCACTGGAGGCTGGAACCCAGGGCCTCTTGCTCGCATGTTAGGCAAGTGTTCTGCCGCTGTGCTACACTCCTGGGTATATTTGATGGAAACACTCATTACTTTACTCATTACTTTCCTCTCCTCTCCTCTGTGGATACAGCATCCTCTGAAGTGGGGCTCATTTGTGGCACAACCCACACAAACATTCTCCCCCTGGAGTTGTTCCTCAGCAGCTTCCTCAGTGTTCTTCGAGTTTGCTATATTCTCCAAACCTCACTGCCTTGGTGTTGAAGATTTAGCTGGCTGGGATACCATCAACTATACATGTGGACTGTGTTAAAAATCATGAGGCTGGTTAACTGGTATTCTTTGCAAGAAGTTTATTAGGAGGGAGGGGGGAGTAGGACATGGGGAGAGAAAAGGGCAGGGGTGCCCCAAGAGAGAGAGAGAAAGTAAGAGAGGAGAGTAAGAGAAGAGAAGAGGGAGTAAGAGTGTAAGAGAGAAGGAGTAAGAGTGTAAGAGAGAGTGAGAGAAAGAGAGAGAAGAAAGAGAGAGAGAGCATAAAAGAGAGACCACATGTCAGGGTTGTCCCTTTAAGGGACAAGGTAACCATGCCTTCCAGGTGTGGCCACCTGGCTGGCGACACATGATGACATCATGAGTTGCTGGGTAACCCAGGAGCAGGTTGTGTTCCAAAATACTAACAGAATGCACAACTAAACAGAAAAACAGGGGAGGGGCAGAACTCTGGCATGTACAGGAAGATCCTGGGGTCCACCCTTCCACCACACACACAACCAGCACTGAGAAGAAGGAAAAGAAGACATGGTCTGCATGCATGTTCTAGAGCAGACTTTGCTATCAACACTATGTGAGCCATACTTGCAAAAAAATGTTTTAAGAGACGTGGAGTGGGGGGAGAGAGCAAGAGACAAACAAAAAGGAAACTAGTGGAAGGAGGCTTCATTCCCTTTCAGAGGTGTGGGAGGCCTCGATGACTAAGACTGCTGGGATGGGAGAGGGGGGAGGGTGCTGGCCCAGCTTGGGGTTTGGGGAGGGGAGTTGAAGAGGGGAGTTGGGAAGGGAGGCTGGGAAGGGGAGGTGTGAAAGGGGGCTGGAGGGGGGAGTTGGGAAGGGGAATTGGGGAGAGGAATTGGAGAGGGGGATTGGGGAAGGAGAGTGGGAAGGGGAGTTGGGGAGGGAGGCTGGGAAGGGGAGTTGGGCAGGGTTCAGGAGGGAGGTTGGAGGGGGGCTGGAGAGGCCTTTATCTGAAGGTCTCTCTGTTTCTGAAAGTAAAGAAACCTGGGCAGATGACAGTTATGCAGGAGGATTCACTTTGAGTTCCCAGATCCCTTTGGGGAAAGCCAGGAGGGAAAGAAGGGGTGCTCTTTAGTTCCAATTTGTTGAGAAAAGGGACACATTTTTCTCAGGAACTAAAAATGAAACTCTAGAGCAGGTTTTTCAGATTTATTTTTAGTGTATAAAAATCCCCTCAACATCATTAAAAATTCAGAGTTCTGGACTGTTGCCATGGAGATTGTCACTCAATAGTTCTAGTGTATGGCCTGGGACTCTGAACTTTGATAAGTTTGCATAAAATAACTGTACTGTGGGTATCCTCCCTAGAATAGTCCACTTTAAAAGAAATGCCATCATCAAAGGAAATTTATTCTCTCACTCGTTTGTCCAAAAGTGCGGAGGATGGGCTGGGGAAGACAGACAGGCCCTGTCCTTGGGAAGACTAGCAGACCACAGAGCGCATCAATTTTGGGGGCAGCCCTCTTCCCAGGGTCCCACTGCACCCCAGCTGCACCCTGTTCCCCGGCCGCTGCCCCCTTAGCCCCCGCTCCCAGGCCTCTTCCCTTCCATTTTGTGGTAGCCATCATCTCAGCTCTCGAAAAGGTTGTCCTGAGGGAGGCAGGGGAAGCCCCATGTGTCACTGCTGCTGAAGGATCTTTTGCCTGTTTAGATAGACTCTGTGTTTGGCAAGGAGCAACTCCACAGAAGCCGATCAGAGCTTTCCTTTCTTCTCAGTGTTTGAGCATTGTGGGCAGCAGGCAGGTAGGAGCGACGGGAATGGTGCCCGCCCCCCTCGCCATTATTCCTCCGTGGTCTTGGAACTCTTGGCCCTTGGTGGCCTCAGTGTTACCACTCTCAGTCTTGGGCCTGAGACCCTTCTGGTTCTGAAGGTGTGACATCTCTCTGAACATTTGGAGCCCAGGGCTGTCAGGTTCTCTTGTCTGGCTCCTGACAGCTCCTTACGCTTTCATAAGCCATCTGCTCTCTCCTGTTGGCTCTCTACTTCTGCTGGTGTGAGAACCTCCACCCACCCACCACACGGTGCAGTGTCAGCGGGATTCCCATGTGGAGCCTCCGTGAGGCCAGGGAGTGTGCAGGCGGCCACACAGTCAGTCCCCCGGGTGCCTGCATTACTAAGGCAGAGCTGTTCAACGTTGGCGATGCTTGCCTGGCACATCCTGTTGAAGGCAGGGAAGATGAGACCGCTCCAGGCTCTGGAGCCCCCCACTGAGCCCCAGCGGCCTGCTGTGTGGTCACAGACTACGGGAGGGAGGGGGAGTGTCACACCATTTGTCCAGTCATGGTTGTGAAGGCTTGTGCTTTGGATCAATCATGGCCTTGCCCTCAGTCGTGGTAATTCCTGTACTAGGGGAACCACTGCCCCTCTGGCCAAGGCAAAATGGTTCTGGGAGGCTTGTGTTTCTGTGGAGTGTTCAAGATCACTGGTGCTAGCATAAGGATGGACCAGCTGGCGGTAAGACTTCTCCTTTCCCTCGGGGCACTCTGACAGTTCAGTGCCTGCTAATTAGGGTGCAAACTGCCCGCCTATGTCTTTGCTTGCTTACAGAGAATGGGCTCCAGCAGGGGTGCTTGTTGGTGGTAAGTTCGAACTTTAGCAGTTCTAAGCAATGCTTCCATAAGACCTAGCACGTGCCCAGAACCCGGGAAGTGTTAGTCCCTGTCTGTCTCTCAAGGAGTCAGCTACCTAAAGGACGAGCAAAGGGTGTGGAACAAGAGCTGGCAGCCAGGCTGTGGGGACAGGACTCCAGCTGTCTGCTGGGTCTGTCAGGAGGGAGCTGGCCATGCGGGGTCAGTACTGCCCTCCGAAGGCAAGGAGGCCCTCGGCCCTCTCCTGGTGCAGCTCTCTGCACACACGGGGGTGGGGTGGGGTTATTCTCCCGTTGCTCTGGCCAGCACTCCCACCTACTCTCTCTGGCACATCTTTGGTTCTTGGGGCCTTTGTTGGTTCCCCCTCTCCTTTCATGCTGCCTTCAGGAGGCTCTGCAGCCTCCTGTCAGATTGCTGTCAGTAATCATGTCTGGGGGGCCTCCCTTGTGTGGAGGCATAAAAATGCCCTGGGAAGCTTACATCAGTGCATGTGTGAGTGTTTTGAGGGTGAGATCAGGGTGTACATTGTAGAAGTCTGTGAGTGTACACGGGGTCGTCAGAGAAAGATCCCATATACAAATGGCAACACCAGATCATATGAACACAAGCACATGGGCTCTGGATCTGCAGCAGCCTGGAAGCCTCTCTTGTCTGCTGCAGCCGGTCCAGAAGGCAGCGTGCTGTAAAGCCGAGCTGCAGGTAGGTCACTCCCTGTCTGACAGCGCTGATTGTATCCCTCCGGCTGGCTCTGGGGAAGCCACGGCAGGCTGCGCGCCAGCCCCAGCCGTGGCAACAGCCTGACTGTAGTTTCAGGGGCCAATAGCCTCCCACGGAGCCTGCCGGCCTACAGTCTCCCACGGACCTGCCTGCCTACAGCTTGGCGTTTGCTACCCTGGGATGGTGGCCAGCTCCCTTGTTTGGCCACTCTCCTTGTTTGCATCTGTTCCACGGTGCGTGCGCAGGTTTATGGGTGGAGCGGGGGCTTCGAGTGCATCTGAGTACGTGGGGGGAGGGGTACGTCCCAGTGTGTGGCACCTGTGTGGCGTGTGCACCACCGTGAGTGTGTGAGGTGGGGCGGCATGTGTGTAACAGCACGCGAAGGTGTGTATGTTCACGTGCCCGTGTGCATACCCATGTATGCTGACAAGCACAGTTTGGACAGAAGGGACAGTGGACAGGAAGCTGGCACACACAGCAAGAGCTGCGAGTCCTCTGTTCCCTCCTCAGTTGGGTCCTGGGACTCCCTCGGCCTCTATGGTCCACAGAGTCAGGACACCTGCAGAAAGCCGTGGCCGTGGCGGGGTCATGCCTGTAGCTGGAACAGGTGGCTGGGAATGCTGGGCTCTCTAGGGAAGGAAGGAAGTGACTTTAGAGCCACAGCTAGGTGGCTGGCTAGGTGCTGGCTCATATCTGTGCCACCTTGGGATTGGTAAGACCTCCTTCTGAACACCCTGATTCCTTTCTTCTTGCTGTTCCAGAGACCAGAGACGTCTGCCAGCCCCCAAGGGCCTGCCAGTCACAGCGCTCAGTGCCTCAGGGTGAAGCCGAACTCTGTACCGGAGTTTAATCTGAGGCCCTGGCAGGTACTTTCCAAAATTAATGGTTGGTGAAATAAGAACAAACAGAGGTAAATAGCCCTTTCTTACCACACAGTCCCTGGCGATTTACAGGCAGTGGGTGATCTCTGGGGCGTTACCACTTTCCCGCCAATGATGGTAATTTTCTTCCCCTTAAGACTGCTGCCCCACGCTGAGGGTCTCTGTGAGCACAGCGGTCAAAGGAAGTGCTGTGCTGAGCAGCGTTCTCTGCAGCCTGGCCTTGTGTAACTCACCATCCTGACAGAGCGGTGCTCGTGCTACTCAGCTACTCAGCATCAGCCCTGAGCCTGCTGGGGAGTGCCCGTGCCTGGGGTTCCTTGGGAGGCCTGGGGTTCAGCTCAACACTGGCTGGAACGAGTCAGTCAGGAGGCCTTGCCCTTGTCAATGTGTGCCTCGGCCTAAGAGCCAAAGCTGTTTTTCACAGGAGGACAATGGCAAACTGACACCCAGGAGCGGGGTCCTGGGCTTTCTCTTTGGCAGGCATGTCACAACTGAAGAAAAGCTCACTCCCACAGGAATAATGGCCCCCCAACCTTGCGCCTCGGGGCTTGGAGCCAGGGGCTGCTGACTGTCAGCTGGAGTGTGACCAATGCCTTTCCTGCTCTAGACGGGTCATACCGTTCTGAACACATCTGCTTCTTTTGCGCTATTCCCAAAGTGCAAAAGTGAAGCATATTGAGAGTGGATTTCAACGTCACTTTAAGACATTAAAATGCACACTGTAGGTCTGTGAACACACAGATTGTTGTGCGAACCACCACTATTTATGTAGACAATGGCAGAGGCAGACACTGATTGCAGTGCGCCAACGCACATCCCTTGTCTGGGGGCTGAGGAACCCAGGCCGCTTGGTATGTTTACACCTAGCAGCTCACCTGGGACGGCTGGGCAGCAGGGTCAGACTGGCCTTCGGAGGAGTCGCCATCCTGGCTGCCTGGCTCCAGCCACCACAGCAAAAGCAATAAGGGAACTAATCAGTAGCATGCATAGGCACTAAAGCAAGCAGGGGGGGCTCTAGCCGCCCCGCAGGTAAAAGGCCCCCTCCCCCTTCATTGTTTCCGTTGGGTAGGACTTCTAGCTTCATTCTAATCCTACTCTAATCTTGTTTTGCTGGCTAACAACCTCAGAAAAGCGCATTGTTATGCAAAAAGCAAGGCCAGGAGCTGTGGGTCCACTTCCTTCCCACCTGCACACCCGGCAGTGCAGAGGCTTCCTTGCAAAGATGTTTCTCTCTGAGAGGCAGGGCGCAGTATTGTCTATAGGTCCACATGGGGCCCCTCAGGAGCAGACCCTAGAGGGCTGAGGCCCAGGAATGATTGGTCAATCCAGTGCCCAGCAGGCAGTGTGGCTAACGCTTATTTACCAGACAGTGTTGAGTTGAGGCAAAGCCATCAGCACTGAGTTCTGGTCAGCGCCACCCAGGGCTCTGGACAGCTCCAGCGACCCACCAGAGAGACTTGCCCAGTCGGAAGGTCTGTGGCTCAGGCCCCCTCCCAGGACTGAGCAATGGATTCAGTTTCTCAGGGACAGAGAGGTGGAGGCCGGGAGCTCAGAGGGCTGGGGAGGTGCTAACTGAGTTACTGCCGGGCCAGCAGCTCCTCTGTTGCAACCTTTGCCAGTCTGACAGGCTCCTGCAGGGTTACATCACTTCCTAAAAATCAGTCGAACACCTCTCCTTCAAGTGAGCACCGACCCAAAGGAGCAGGAAACAGGAAATGTGCGCGTTGGAGGGAGGCCGGGGCTCGGCAGCATCCTGAGCGCAGGCGAGCCAGCTGACATGACCCTGCTGTGCACTGCCCTGGTCTTGGCCCTGGGACTCGCACTCGGTCACTCTGGCCACGGTAAGCGACCTCCGGCTGGGAAGGAGGATACGGAAGCCTGTGCGTGCCCGAGGCTACCGGCCTCTTTGGGGAGGGACCCACCCAGAAAACTTAATCCTTTCAGTGAAACTTAAAAGCGAAGAAAATTAAAACTGCTTTGGGAGGGCAGGGCTGGAGGAAGGATCTTGCTTCCATCGCAGACTCTAGCTTGTTTTAAACCTCTGGCTATCTTTGCCTTTTATGATCCTTGTAATTTATCAGCTTTACTGGGCATATTAAGAAAGCCATAAACCTTTTTGGCAGTTCATGGAAAAGAATGCTCCGGTCTGCTAAAAGACAGACGTGATGATGTCACTTTTAATAACTGAGAAGTCTGCTGGTTCCAAAAACCTCTTGAAAAAAAAAAATTAAAACCCAACTAGGGTATGGGACTTTACTCCTGGAAAGCATTTGGGAAAAGACGTGAATGGGAAGTGAGTGGAGGCGTGCAGGCGTCCGCTGCCCCGCTCCTAACATCCAGACAATTCTTGGAGCTGCTCTTCTCTGGAACCGTGGGACAGACTTTCTTTGCCCCCGCTGTTACTGGTGAACGTCTGCGTGAAAGGCTCATGTGATTACAGGCAGCCAAAGGGGCTGAGGGGCAGTGCTAACCCGCACTGCTTCAGCTTGAACAGCAGCTGGAGCAGATACCTGCTCAGCTCCCTCTGAAGGTTCTGTTGACTTGTCTTTGGCAAGGCTTCTGTGGATGTGTAGGCAGGGCCTGCTTCTAGGGAAGGGCTGGGCCTGAAGCAGTAGAGTGTGCTGCTCGGAAAGGATGGGGGCCACTGATGTCAGAGATGGCAGGTACACCTCTCCCAGCCCAGCAGGCCTCTCTTGGAGGACACCCTTTGATGTGTCCAAGTGTCTGAAGTAGAAAGCGAGGAGTGTGTGCTGCTTTCAAAGTGTGGTGGGAAGTCCAAGCTTGTTTGTGTGCTGCTCTTCGGAGCTGGAAGGAAGCTGGAAGGGGCCATGAGCACATGCAGGGAAAATCCTCTTTCATTTATCTTTGACTTTCCTACATGCTGTTGGAGCTTAGCATACACCAGGAACTCGGCTGATAAATATTAAAACCATCCCTGGAATGGCTGAGGCTGTGGATCTTTAAGAGCCACGGAGCCCCGAAAGCAAGCGGCAGAGGAAAGTCAGAGATGGAAGCTCGTTGCAGTGTGTGCTGCCTGGAGCCTCAGGGTCTAAAAGATGCCAAAGCACCACTTGCAGAAAGCTAGATAACAGGAGCTGCTTCCGTGGGCCTTAGTGGAGGGAAAGGCTAGTCCTCATTAAAACTTAGTTCTTAAACTAACAGTGCAGATCCTCTTGAGCTTAAGAATGTGAGTTAGATTACAGGATTTCTATCTTTTAGTTATTAAGAACGAGTGTCTGGGGATGTTTAGCAGAAAAACCCAACCTCCTGAGCAGTGCCACTCTCTGCATTGCAAGCGCATCCTGAGGTCCACCTCAAGTGAAGCCTTTGTGACCACACAGAAGATTCTGTCGTCCTTGTCATCTCTGGAGGCTGGCTTCATCCTGTGTGGGCCACTCTTTCAGTACACAGACAGCCCGGCTCAGGACTGAGAACCATCCCAAGGGAGAATATTCCCTGGGAAACAAGCAGCAGGCAAGTGGGAAAAGAGCTTTCCTTCGATTCTGGCCTAATTGATGAGCGTAGTTTAAACAAGCTCTGGACCAACACCTCTCAGCCATGTGGGGTCTCCAGGAAGCTGTAACTGAAGTATGTACATAGGAAGACCAAGCTTTGTGGTTGCTGCATGTTAGTAACAGAATTGCATTTATTTGCATTGGCTGAGACCAGTGAGAGGCAGGTTAACCTTGAGGGAAGTAGGAGTCCAGATACATGGTGAGCAGGTAGAGGCGCTGGGCATTAGCTCAGTTAAGATCAGAAGCAAGAAGTGCAGAATGCTGGAGCCACTACGTGGGGGGCTGAGGGGTGTGGGAACTGGAGTGAAACAATGGTCTGTGCACAGCTGAGAACTGACACCAGGAATCCAACACCCTTAGGTGTACAAAACAACTCAGAGAGAGAAAGAGAGAGAGAGAGACAGAGACAGAGAGATGAAAAACAAAGAGTAAAGAAGACACAAATACCGATATTGGTGGTGCACAGCTGGGACCCAGCGTGGGGTGTGGGCTCAGAAGGACTGAGGTCCTGTGCTTACGCTTTCTTGGCCATATAGACAGACCCAAACTCAGCAACAAAAACATCAGCAAACCAAACAGGGGTTGGAGCTTAAGGTCCTTCAGTGCCTACAGTTCCAAATTCCAGGAAACTGGGAGGGGGAGAGCCTTTGGGGATGAGTTCAGCTCTGTGGAGACACAGTGCCCGTGCTTGGCCAGCCTGCTGCACCTTGCGGAGCCCCACCCCCACTGCATAGCGGAGGAGAAACAGGAACTGTGCCTGCCACTGCCCTTGGCCCGCCCACTGGCCTTTGGTTCTAGTGAGCACTATTTGCATTTCTAGAAAGTCTAACATGCTTATTTTTTTCTTGGCTTTTACTTAAGCTAAGTAATTTACCCCATTCTATTCACTTTATGCCTAGTATTATCTACTGGATGGTTTTCTTCCGACTCTTATAAACCGACTCTTGCTACTTGCTGTATCTGTTGACTTCCTGGTTGTGAACAAATCGTTGGCCAACAGGGAGAGGCTCACCTGTTCAACTGAGCTCCAGATTTTCAGCACTAGCCTCCAAGTCCTGGAAAGTACGACCCAGCTCTGTGCACTCGGGTCCAGTCGTGGTTGGTAGGGAACGAAGCCGGGATGCGTTGAGAATGGAGGGAATAACAACCGGACCTCGGCCCGCCTTAGCTTCATCTCATCTATGTGCGACAGGCAGGCGGCAGGTCTCTGAGAACCAGCAGCAGGGCCAGTCACTAACCGGGGTAACCACAGAGACAGGGAGTGGACAGAGAGAGAGGTCAAGATGACAATTCCAGACTGAGCCTCTCCGGAGGCTTGGCTTCCGCAGGCTCAGGGCAGTCCCAGCTGACGCTGAGTGTCGTCAGCACACCTTTTAGGCCATGGCCCGGGGTCTAGCTTTAGCTTTCACACGGTTATTCGATAGGTGATCTTATAAGAGCCCAAGTCTTTGTTTGGGGCAATCCCCATGACCAGTTAGGTTTGGATTTTTGTTTCCTCTATAATCTTGTTTGCTTATTGTTTCATTGTTGTTTTATTTTGGGTTTTGGAGTTTTACAGAGTCTGCCTCTGTAGCTCAGGTTAGTTCAATCAGTCCTCCTACCTCAACTGTCTTAGTGACAAGTAACCTCTGCCCCTCAGGACATGCTATCCTTGCTTTCCTGAGATTTCTTTATACTTTTAAAGGCAGTTTCTCTTATTTCATCTGGTATTTCTAGTTGTCCTCTGAGAACATTTTCTTAAATAGATAGGTTTGCTGGAGAGGGGAGCTTTTCTGTGCAGCCAATGTGGAGGGTAGGTTGGAATTGTTCATCCTCTGCCATCTCTAGAATGCATTCCTGATCACTCACAGATATGCAGCAAAGATTGTAAAACTGTGTGTGTGTGTGTGTGTGTGTGTGTGTGTAGGAGGAGGATCTAAATGTGCATTCGCAGAAGGGCGAATAAACTTCTGCAGCTCTAGAATGAGTGGCACAGAGGGGCCTGATGGACCTGAGCTCCTAGTGCTGAGCCAGATCAGTCTCAAAACAATGCTGAAGATTAGTGTGCTTGAGCCCAACAGTCCCAGCTGCTTGGGAGCCGAAGCAAGAAGATTGCTCGAGCTCTGGACTCTGAGACCAGCCTGGGCAACACAGACTCTCAACTCAGTATTATTCACAGAATAATTGTGTTTATCTCAGGCTTTTAAAGTGCCCCCAAATATACTATGTCAAGTCATAGCTTAGGTAGAGGCGTAGATGTATTTGAAAGTGTGCATATTCCCTTTGGGAGTAAGGGGTAGAAATTATATCACACCTGGCTGTTCTATATGACCGAGAATTCTGTTTCATGTAATAAAATATCTAAGGAAGGGCTGGGAAGATGACTTTGTGGCAGAGTTGACTAGCACATGTGAGGCCCTAGGGTCAACCCCTAGTACCAACCACCCATCCAACCAACCAACTATCCAACTATCCAACCAACCAACCACCAACCATCCAACCAACCAATCATGCAACCACCAACCATCCAACCACCAACCAACCAACCATCCAATCAATCAACCAACCAGACAATAAACAATAAACAAAACAATATATAATAAACAAAACAAACAAATGGACAAAACCAATGACCCAATTTTCTTCTGGGCTTCACCTGATAAAAGTTCCATCACTAGGTAATGGGTTGGTTGCCAGGACCCAGCAACCAAGCCTTCAATACATGGAATTTGGGGGACATTCCAGAGCCATAGTATAGCAATATCTGTAGTGCTGCTTCCTTTAGATGAAAAGGATGACAAGGGCTGGAGAGACGCCTCAGCAGTTAGCAACTCTTTGTTTTGTTTTGTTTGCTGAGACAGGGTTTCTCTGTGTAGCCTTGGCAGTCTTGGAATTCATTCTGTAGACCAGGCTGGCCTGGAAGATCCGCCTGCTCTGCCTCCTGAGTGCAGGGATTAAATGTGTGCCCCACCATGCCCAGCTAGAGGCCCTGCTGTTCTTGCGGAGGACTGGAGGTTGGGTCCCAGCACTGAACTTATGAGGCTCACATTTGCCTGTAGGTCCAGCTCCAGGGGATCTAATGCTCCCTTCTGGCCTGTGTGGGCACCCAGGCAAATACACACACACACACACACACACACACATACACAAATAAATAATAAAATGCAAATGTAGAGGTGATAACCCAGGGCCTAGCAAACTCTGACAATGGGCTAACTGGGTCCAGTCCATTTTTTCTGGCCATGGAGCTTCAGATAGACTATACAGCTGTAAGCATCTGTATGACCAAAGCCAGCTGTCTCCCTTGGGCCTTACGATGATTTTGTTTTATTTTATTTTTGTAAGTC